ATAGCAACCAAGCTTACTAAGAGCTAGGAATCTTGCAGTGTTTGAAATGTCTGCCTTCTGCTAAAAAATCAGCTTTCCTCAACCTGACGCCCTTTAGACGTTGTTGGACTGCATAATCCCTGACCATTGGCCATGCTGACTCAGGCTGATGTGTAGTTCCAAAAAATCTAGACGGTACCATGTTAGGGGAAGGTGGATTTTTAGTGGAAGGCTGCTATTTCAAACATTGCACATTTCCTAGCTGGTTCTAGCATCAAAAAACTGAAGGGCCTGGAGCGTTTTGAAGTCTTTCTGAAGCAATTCTTCCCCACAAGCCTTGCAAAGGGCAAAATAAAACAAACAAACAAAAACAGTCATTCAGTGGCACAACTGGAAACATAACACAGAAGCTGCTTGATATAAGCTCTGTAAATTAAATATAACAGAGAGGAAGCTCAAGACAATTTATCGTTGCTGAAATCAACAAGACTTGATTCCACTTCACTTTCTCTAGATTGCAACCATTTAGGACCTACTCCATTCTAAGACTTATGCATGCATAACTTGCGGGAATGGTTCCCATTGAACTCAATGGGACTTACTTGTGAGGTGAAGGAGAAGAAGGAAGAAGAAGAAGAGGAGGAGGAGGAGGAGGAGTTTGGACTTGATATCCCACCTTTCACTCCCCTTAAGGAGTCTCAAAGCGCCTAACAATCTCCTTTCCCTTCCTCCCCCACAACAAACACTGTGAGGCGAGTGAGGCTCAGAGACTTCAGAGAGGTATGACTAGCCCAAGGTCACCCAGCAGCTGCATGTGAAGGAGCAGGGAAGCGAACCCAGTTCACCAGATTACGAGTCCACCGCTCTTTAACCCCTACACCAAGCATAGGACTCTGCAAGATGGGATGGGGGAGAATGGTGGAGACCATCCTTTGTATGCAGAATGTCCTAGGTTGAAGAAGAAGGAGAAGAACTGGTAGCCGTTAATAAGAAAGATCTTAGCCTAACACCCTACAGAGCTACTGCCAATCAGAGTTCTAGACTGGATGAACCAATGGGAACATAATATGCCCAAGCCATCCTGCAGGATTGGATGGGAAAGAGCTGCATTCTGCTTTCTACAAGAGACTGCTGGAGGATTCATCTAACTTCCCCTTTTGTTATTTCTGTAACGTTTTTAAGCAGGCCTTCAATCTTGTAATTAGAGGCAGGGTTGTTTTGCGGCGTTCTCGCCTCCCTAATCCCCACCCCCTCCTCCCCACTGCGTTGTTCCTACCCTGAGCGTCTTTAACTAAATTACAGTCAAATACTTCATTACAGAGACTTTCAGCCAGGAGGGAAGCCCCCAGGGATTTGATTCACAGACAAATGTATTATGCACAAGGTTGATCTGATCATACACAATTTGTGCTACCCATGCACCCTCCAGGAAATTCCTTTCATAAATGTAAATGATGTGACACTCAAAAGAACTGAGAGCTGAAAGAAAGAGAAAAGGAGGGGGGAGGGGGAGGGGGAGGAGAGAGAAGTAAAGTGTGTGCCTAAGGAAGTCACAGAAAAGTGGGCTGTCACGGGACTGCTGGGTCACGGGACTGTAGGGCAGAGGGTAGGCTGTCAGGGTCATTATGTGTATCTGCTTCTTCTCTAAGGAGAGCCTTCACTTCTAATAGCAGATTGTTACATGGGGCTGGAGGGAGGGGGCGATGTATTAAGTACCATTTGGTAAGATTGTAATAACTGTTCCTATGGCAACAAGGAAAAATGCCCTCCGTGGATTTTATTTGTGTTTTGAGTTAGCAGGCATTAAGCAACGGGTTCTGTAGAACAAAAGAGATGGCCTGAGGCCTCCTTCACCAATAATGTCCACTAGGAGCCTTTTTTAGGACACCCCCTCACCAGTCCACACACCAAACACTTGAGGATTACAGTACTTCCTTTTAGGAGCAAGCCCAGTTATTTGGACTACTTAAGGGTAGGGCCATTCTCCAACAAAGCATCCTGGTGGTCTGTCACATTTATGACCAGCCTTCCTTCATTGTAGGAAACAAGAGAGCCTTGCCTCTAGGTGATTCTTCAAGTCTCACTTCAACTTTTAGCTCCAGGCCCTGTCTGGGGCCACTGTCAACCACATTCTGAAAGTAAGAGAGTTGTCCATGTTCCCCTTTGGTACTCCCTCCAGTCCATTTCATGAGCTCAACCTCCCATCTTCATCTACAGGGATCTCCCTTGTAAGAATAATAGGCTTAGGGGGCAGGTTAGTCCCCACGTTCATGAAATATTAATTATTTCATTGAGCATTGGCAAGAAGATGCACTGCAACTGAAACTACTCGCCTCTCTTCTGAATCAGAGAGAGAGAGAGAGAGAGAGAGAGAGAGAGAGAGAGAGAGAAATCTATTATTAAATACCCTATTAGTCTTGGCAATTGCACCATCCTTTTGCACTGTAGTCGCTGAGTGTTATCTAATTGGTTCTCCCCCCAATCTACTTATTCTGAGAAGCCTGAGACCACGTGGAACAGAAATGCACTTTTGCTAACCCATTTGGTTCCCTGTTACAGTTCTCATCAGATATGCTTTTAGATCATGCAGTATTTTGTCAGCAAAAAAACCAAGATTTTAGGAGAGGGAGGGCGAGGGAGAGAGAGAGAAAAACAGGGAGGCGTTCACATGGGACAAAAGGAAAGGCAGAAGAGGTAAATGCAAGGTTTTCAGATGGTCCAGATGGAAAATGACAAGGGCTTTGTGGAAAAGAGAAAAATCTGAACTTGTTGAGCTTTGATCATAACTATCAAAATGAAAAGATGCTTTTGAAAAACCCATTTCAGACCACATGATATTCAAAATATTCATGCCTACACTCAGCGCTTATATTTTCAGGGGTACTCAACGGTACTCAGTACCAGCACTTCTTTTGCTGTTGTTTTTAACAGTGTGACACTTACTGCATAAACTTCATGGTGAGTTGGTGAGCACCTATCTTTCTAGAAACAACCAGCCTTCTGGTTAACAGCCAGACACACTGACCCAGACACAGAGCTTCAAAGTGCACATCTGTGCCTGGAAAGAGTGGGGCAAAAAGTAGGTGTGGATAAGCCCTGAGACTAAGGAAGAGGAAACCATCCACTTGTTCTGTCCCCTGAGCTACATGGAAGTAAGAAGGCAATCAGGTGGTGGCTGAGCTTGGTGGGGCAGCGCTTACTCCCATACCCTGATTTTAGGCTTACTATAGGTATCTGACAGGCTGTTGTAGGATCCTGGATCTGTTCAGGTGGGACTCACCTTACATTCTTATTTCCTATTTTTTCAACTGCACTAGCTGACTAATTAGGATTTATTAAACTTCTTGTATGTGTTCATGACCTACAAGAAAGCTGTAAAGCAGCTTAGCCACTTACAGGATTAAGAGGATTCACTGTGTGGCCACTGATCAAACAAAACTATTTGCTATGGCTAGGTAGGTTAATATATGTCCTGATTTTGTTTTTGTTTTTGTTCCATGAAGAGGAATTAGACATTTTGTGCTAAAGTGTGATGGCTGGGGTGGAGGAGGCAGTTATATTTCTTTCTGTATCTTGTTTTAAAGCACATCCTTAATATGCAAATCATACCATCTGCCCTATAGTTGTAGTAAAGTACAGAGATTTGTTTTCTATAGGTGTGTGGAACGGATTGGGTTTGTAACAGCTGGCCAGCCCCTGCACAACTGACATCCACATTCTGGATGTTATTTTGAAACTTTGCATGGTGGGGACGTAAACGCAGAGCCCAATATGCAAAGTCCTCAGTTGCCTAATCTAAAAGTTCAAAGTTTTTGTTTGCATCACTAATTGGCACCAGACTAAAAGCTCAATTAAATAAAAGAAAGAAACTGGAGTTTGGTTCAAATGTTGTGGTTTTTTTTTATCTCCAAATCCAGATTTGTTCATGTTGTAAGATTCATCAAGGTAAAATCCTATGGTCTGGATTTGATCTTTTCTGGCAAAGGTGGATTTAGGAAGCGTGACTGATTCAGTCCCAGAGGGTGCCACAACTATGATGTAGAATAGAAGGCAAGAGGTGGGAGACATGGAATTTTGGTGTCGCACAGGGTGCCATTGAAATTTGAGACCCCAAGGCTCTCACCCCATAGCCCCACCGTCTCTGTCTAACAGTGCAAGGACTGCTACACTAGTGTAAAGATGAACATAAAGGTCACACAATATGAAAGGCAGTGCTGTAGTTGCACCAGAAAAAGCTTGTTGAGCAGCAGCTTGCAGAACAGGAAGTATTGAGACTACAGCAGCAAACTCTTACACAACGAGTGAAGAGAACCATGGTGACTTCCTGTGCCTTCTCTTGCACTAGCATAACTAGAGCATGACTAAGCAAAATTAGCTATTGAATCCCTCTGTAGAGCTGGAAGGTGCCTTGGAGGTCATCTTCTAGGGATGGCAAATCTGTCAGTTTTGGTTTCTCTCAGTGTTCCAGTTTGGTTTCCTCTCAGTTTTTGGTTTCTCTCAGTTTTCCAATCTTAAATTCAGTTCAAATTTCCACAGCAAACTGTGATTTTTTTTTTAAACAACCTCATGGAAAGTCCTCAGCATTTCATTTCTTCCAATGCACACATTTTTGTTGATGAATTATACACATTTTGCAAGCAATTTCCCGTAATAAAATGCATTTTTGTATGATTTTTTTTTAGCAATATGTGCTTGCGCACTTTCCCCTAACATATAGATTTCTGTTTGATTGGATAACTGCACTGAAACATTTGAAACTGAACTTGGAAGGAAAATTGTGCACCAGTTCATGTGTCCTTCTGAGAAGAGTGAATAAGGTAGTTTCACACTGAAATGCAAACAAAATCAAATGTATCTGACATCCCTACCCCCTACTCAAATCAGAATCTGCAAGGTAGGATGGAACTCTAGCATCTCTGACAGATGGACAGCCGTCTTCTGCTTAAATACTTTTAGTGATGAAGAGCTCTCCACCTCTCAAGGCACCGTGTTTCACTGTCAGACAGCTTGTGCTGATTCTCCTAATATTTTACTGAAATCTGATTGTCTGCATTTTCCACCCATTTGTTCTATTCCTGCCCCCTGGAGCAATGGAGAACAAGCCTGCTTCATCTACTGTGTGATACTCCTTCAGATATTTGAAGACTGCTCTCATATTTGTCCTTGAGCTTCTGTTTCACAGGCTAAACATGCCCACCTTTTCCAAATATTCTTCATAAGGCTTGGTTACCTGCCTACTGAGGCCTGTCAGTCTATGATACCTAAATATATTTTCCTGAATATCAAATTTTGGGGACAAACAACAGAGGGTGGTCATCACATCCATGTTCTTTTTTTAAAATGTTCCCAAAGGCATCTGGCTTGGAAACAGAGTTCTGAACTGGATAGAGTATTCTCCCCCAACCTGGGCCACATTCACATCATGCATCTAAAGTGCTATGACACAACTTTAAACAGTCATGGTTTCCACCAAAGTATTTTGGGAGCTGACACATTTATGGGCACTGACAGTTGCTAGGAGGCCCTTAATCCCCCTCAGAGAGCTACAGTCCTAAGTATGGTTCAACAATCAATCTCCCTCCACAGAGAACTCTGCCAATTGTAGCTCTGGGAGGGGAATGGGGGTCACCTAACAATCCTCCGATCAGATGTTGTTGATATCCAATTCCCTCTATCCTTGCCATTGTCCATGCTTTCTAGGGGTGATGGGAGATGGAGTATCTGGAGGGCCCTGAGTTGGAGAAGGGTGGGTGGGGTAGACCTTGAGCAGATAGAACAAGTTTTTAACTATAACCTCCTAAGATGCCCTTAACTCAGTATTTCCTCTCTTCCTGTGGTCTGTAACATGCTGCAGTTCTAAACACACTTACTGGGAAGTGAGCAGCATTGGACTCAGTGGGACTAACCTGTGAGTAAATATTCAAAGGATCGCATCTTCACAAGGTGTCAGGTACTGGCAGGACACTGACAAGTGTGCACCAGGGGAAGCCAGGAAGCATGAATCAGAGGCAGGGGGAATCTTCAGGGCTGGAGGGTGGAGCAGAGGAGGAAGAAAAAGAAAAGGCAAGTCAGGCAAGTGGAGGACTGAGTGGTCCCCCACGCTCTCCTGCACTACTGTCTCGCACAACCAGGAGAGAATTGATGGAGGAAGAGCAGAGGAAGCTTCTACACAGACATAATCTCTGGCTATGTGTGCACAGGCTCTTGGGGAAAGATGCATAATCTGGTGAAGGAGGCATGGCCCCCTGTTGCTGCCACTGCTCCATAGAGCACAGACCTAGGAATAGCTGCCTAGACCCTAGACTGGTGTGGGTGGGTGTATATTTGGAGCCATGGAAACTACTGTAAGTTTTGACAATGAAGAGTTAACTGTCTGCAATGTGCATTCCTTTGGCAGGGGAGTGCCCTTGACAGAAAACGAGAAAGGGGGGAAAGAACATCTTCGATGACAGATGGTTAACTTTCCTGACTGTGTATAAGGTTTGGGATCTATTGTGGGATTTGCTCTTGCCAGGAAAGCTAGAAGGGGTGTCATAAAAATAATAAGTCTTTCATTTCTGTACATAGCATTACTGTGTCTGCTGCTTGGGAGATGTGATTTTCATTAATACAGAAATACAAGTGAATGAAATGTTTTGATAATTAAATCCTTCTAAATTTTGACAGGTTCAGAATCTCAATTTGAATTTCTAACGCTCTTGTAATTAGCTCAAATTGCTTCCATCCTGTACTTCTTTCTCTCCCCCCCCCCAACATATGTGGTTGAGGTTCTCGCTGCAAATTCTGTAATATTATAGCCTTCCTCTCTGCTTAACTGGCTTGTCCTAGGCAGCAAGTCCCATGGAGGTCAAGATCAATTCAGCGCTAGAGAAGGCCTTTTTTGTTTACTATCCTCCAGACATTGCAATCTGCCCTTCCTTTCCCCTCTCCAAAGCCTTTTACAGTGTGAAGCAAGGACAAGTGTGCCTGTGTGTAAAGAGCTTGTACATGTCACCTGATGCATACAGATGGCTTATTAACCAATTAATTCGTAGGACTAAATTGACTAAATCATAGCAAATGACACCCGATTGCCATGCAAGCGTAGAAATGGATTGGAATAAGCGTTTCTTAAATGCTAGCCTTGCTCAATCCAGACAAGGAAAGGAAAAGTGGGTAGTAATCACAGGAAGGAGTGGGATAGATAGACAGTGTTGGCAGCAACTCAGGGAAGGGAAAGGAAGACCACTTGAGATACCATTGTTGGAGTGATTTCACTGGATGTGAAAGGATCAAGGTTATTATTATTTTTAATTTAAATGTATGGCACTGCCCATGACATTTCAGAGATTCTAATTAAAAATTTCAATTTATAAAGTCCTGGGTTGTTTGCATTGGGATAATGCTAGTTTCTGAAATGAAAATCCTTGCACCTTTTGGCTGAGCTGTTGTAGGTTTGCATTGTAAACATGCTGAGTACCCACTATTTGAGCTGAAGTCAGTGTGCACAATAAATACTTGTGCAATGCAGAAAAGCAGGTGCCCCTTTATTGCTGGAAAGGGATGGCATTGATATCTATATAATGGGCTTAGTTTTATCGGAGGGCCCTTCTGCAACCCCGTTCCACAGGGAACTTGAGTATAGAGCCAATATGGTACAGTGGTTAGAATGTCAGAGTAGGACTGGGAAAATGTGGGATCAAATCCAAACTCACTCACTCACTCTAACCTACCTTCAGAGATGGTTGAGAAGATAAAATCAGAGGGGGGCAGAGTGCCCAACCCCCAAAACATTCATTTTTTTGGTCTCATGCTTTCACATGAATCAGCTGGTTCACACCAGAGCACCGGATCGAAAGATGCTTATGCTTTGGCCTGATGCTCTTCAGAGAGTCAGCTGGCTCCCGCAAGAGCTCAGGACCAAAAAACGAGCGTCCCAATGTTGATCATTGGGGTCTTGGGGGCTATTTTAAAAGGCTCCATATATAAGATTCCATATAATGACTCCTATGTTCCCCAATGCCACAGAAAATAGGCAGAACCCACCCCACCCAACTCAAGCTACAAAGTGTGCTTTTCAAGTTCACACACTCAAGGTTCTCATAGCAAGGAGGACGAATTCCTTCCCGTCCTCTCCTACGGGGCCAGAAGATGAGCTGGCAAATATGACCAGACCTATATTTGGATTTGGTTAATAAGGTTCATTTATTGTTTGCAGAGCCTCCAATTTGTTATATTTTGAATAAATATTGTTGTTTAGTCGTTTAGTCATGTCCGACTCTTCGTTACCCCATGGACCAGAGCACGCCAGGCACTTCTGTCTTCCACTGCCTCCCGCAGTTTGGTCAGCCTCATGTTTGTAGCTTCGAAGACACTATCCAACCATCTCATCCTCTGTCGTCCCCTTCTCCTTGTGCCCTCCATCTTTCCCAACATCAGGGTCTTTTCCAGGGAGTCTTCTCTTCTCATGAGGTGGCCAAAGTATTGGAGCCTCAGCTTCACGATCTGTCCTGAATAAATCTGAATAAATATAGCCTCCTCCCAAGCTTTGGTTGCCCGTCTTCTGTATGGGCATGCTTGCAATGTCCATGGTTGGCAACTAGATTGATTGATGAGTTGATCCTGACCCACACGCTGGAATATCTTCTCCAGTGAATGCTGTCAAATATCCCCACTCTGTGACTCCCAGTCATACACGATCACTTCCTAACGAAGATTTGTAGGTTTGGTGAAACATTAGATGGGTTACTGCTGCAGTAGGCTCATAGCCAACTTCCTGAGGTCAGTAGGCTAGCTGGCAGCCTTTCTCTTATTTGATTTGGCACTAGGCCTTCAGTTGGTGACTCAGTGCATATATTGTTGTTGTTTTTTTAAGGGTATTTATTGATACATCTGTGTGTGTATTTGCCCACACTGATTATTCATGATGAAGTAGCTGACAGATAACTGAAGATATCTGATAGAAACTGCTGGATAAGATAACTCTGTTGAATCCTTATGAAATGTCAAGGATTTTTTTTATTATTATTATAAAAAAGCTATATCACTGAGTTTTAGCCTTCTGGGGTACAGGATAGATATATTGAGGAGCACTTGTTGGTATTGCCTTGACCACTTATCTCTCAGCCATTGAATCCATTATATTCAAAATTTATCATGGTCTATGGATGGATGGATGAGTCTATTTCCAGTCTGTACTAATTGTGCATGTGTTTGTTCATAAGTCTGCTCCATCCTGTTTCCTCATTAATCTGCCCCTTTAAAACAATTGTATATCTGAAAAATTGTATTTCAGTGGTATTTAAATATTCATTTTAGCTCAAAAGATGCATTTAAATTCATGGTTTGTTTTAGTGTATGAATTTCTGAATGCACTTTTTCCTAAAATATGCATTTTAAAATGCAGTTTGGTACTTTTGGGGGGCTGCAGACTGTATGCCAAAAATATGAGGAAGTGTGAAATCTGAAGGATGATTACATTCTGATGCATGTTTTCATTCAGGAGGTGTGAACTAGGTCAGTTTGTTTTAAAATGCAGACCAAAATAACTTCTCCCCTAGTTCTGATATGGTCATGGGACGGTATATGGAGAATTGTGGAGAAAGGAGTATGTGATGGGATGATGAGCTGCTTGTGCGTAAAATAGTATCCCCTCAGAGTTTGTTCAAGTCCACAAACCTCTGTCTGTGACGGAGCCCCTCAGACATGGCTCCTCTAGTCACTAGCAGATTCCGACAGTGGTTGCTTTCGGAATCGCTTCCAACATAAAAGCTCCTTAACGGAAACACGTCTTCTGGACTCTCTGCGTGACAGTTTCCGGCGAGGAGTGGGTGTTCCTACAGGAGGTCCTGAAACCTCCCCACTGTTTTCGCTGGAAGTGTCTCTGAGCCATCCCTCCAGCTCACTTTCCCTCAGCTCAGCTCCTCTCCCCCTACTGGTTCCCTCTTCAGCTGCTGAGTCTCTCCCAACCTGTGTGAGCCCTTTCACCTCCCTTCCTTCTGATGGCAGTTCCCTGACATCCACCTCCCCTCCAGGGCCCCTTTCACCCCCTCTCGCCCCCTCCTCTACGGGCGGTGAGGAGGCAAAACCCCCGGAATGAACTTCCTTCATCTTCCGATGTCTCGAACACTTCTCTCCACCTGTTGCGGTTCCTGGTCTCGAAGTACTCCTCCTCCTCAGAGTCCATCTCCCCTTCCCCTTCCGAGTCCGGGAATCCTTCCAACTCCTCC